CCATGTTAAGAAGGGCCCAGAGAATGTGACAGATCAGTGTGGTTGATTTCTGGTCCAGCCAAGCTCCTTTGGGCCCTGGATGGGAACAGGGGCCTCAGGCAGATCTAGTCATTGCAGCTGCCTCAGGTCTAGGTGTGGCAGGTACCGGGCATCGTTGCTGAATCTCAAAATCTTCCTCCTTTTTCCGCAGGCACACGGTGACCTGTGAAGGTGAGGACAGGGACTCAGAATGGACTGTCTGGCTGTCCAAGTATGAGAGAATACTAGGGAAGAAGATGTCCAAAGCCACATAGAGCAGACGTGTCCCTCTGCTTTACAACTTTTTTTTTTTAAAAAAAAAATTGATTTCAAAGAGAGGAAGGGAGAGAAATAAAGCAATAGAAACATCAATGATGAGAGAGAATCATGGATTGGCAGCCTTGCCCCCTACTGGGGACCGAGGCAGCAATCTGTGCATATACCTTAACCTCCTGCTTCATGGATCGAAGCTCAACCACTGAGCCATACCAGTCAGGTTCCCTCTCCTTTTTAAATTTAATTTTCTCTATCAGTCTTTTTTTCCCTTTCCCTTTTTCCATCTTTTATCTTTCTGTTTTTCTCTCCCCCCTTTTCACTCTCATTTGTTCTACCATTTTCACTCTAGTAACCATTTATATTCCTCATCCTTCCCTCCCTCCTTCTCCCCACGCTATAGCTTAACTGAGGTATAACTGATATACAATAAACTGCATACATTTTATGTGAATGATTTGATAAGTTTTGATGATAACTTATTAAACTGTCACAATAATCAAGATAAGGAATACCCATCACCCCAAAAGTGTACTCAGGTTCTTCTGTAATTCCTCCTGCAGACACCTTCTTATTCCCAGGCAACTGGTGACCTGATTTCTGTCCCTATAGAATAGCTAGTATTTTGTAAAGGTTGTTTATAAATGGGATCATACAGTCTGTTCTTTACCTAACTTCTCTCACTCAGCATAAGTATTTGAGATTTATACATGTCATTGCACGTATTATTAATTCTTTCCTTTTTATTGCTGAGGAAGATCACATTGTGGGATGTGTCACAGTTTGTTTATCCTTCACCTGTTGGTGGACATCTTGGTTGTTTTCCATTTGGGGACTAGTACATACAAATCTCT